GAGAGAGAGAGAGAGAGAGAGAGAGAGAGAGAGAGAGAGAGAGAGAGAGAGACCCTTTAATATTAAATAATTATATATATATTTTTTTTATAAATAAGACAAAACTTCATAATGGTCCCTATAGTGAAAAGACAGAAATGCCCTTCATTTAACGGCCAAAAGTTAACGTAGTTAGCGAAAATGACCATTTGTTAAAAGTTTTGTAACCACAAATCTTTGAGGTTTTTAAAAATTAGAGACTAAACTTCAGATTTTCAAAAACGACCATTTTTGAAGTTTTGTCTGTATTAAATGTTAACATGCTACTCAATATTATAAATGATAATATGTTCCATTATATATTACAGAAGAGCTGATCAATTACATGTTCGATCCGGTCAAAATTGTCTACTTCTTCTATTTAATTTAATAAAAAGCATCCACAAATCCTCTCTGATAAATAAATATTTTTTTGCCACTTATTATATTTTCATTTAATTTGTCAAATGTCATTTTATGGTTATTTTGAATAAATTTTTCTTCCACACGTCATTTTATGAGTTTTTTTTATTTTATAAAATTCCACATAACATTTTAATGTAACAATTACAATAAATGTAGTAATAAATAGATATCAATTTCATTAATAAATTTACCTTTTAATTTCAAAATTCCTAAAGTTAAAGTTCCTTAGTTTCTTTTTTTTTATTTAAATTATTTGTTTAAATTTAAAAGATAAAAAACATTTTTATTATAATAATTCATTATTTTTCTTATAAATTCAAAGTTCTCAGATATTTTGACCTTTATATTTATATTTTTTTTAAATTAACTCATATAATACATAAGTCTCATAACTAATATTCAAAAAACAACAACAAAAAGATTTAATATTATTGTTGCTTGACAAACTGAAAACAAAAATATTACATAAAAATACTATAAATCTATAAATCCATAGTTTCACAATGGAATCAATTTTTATCAAGTTGGATGGCGGATTTTATGTTTGTTAAGTTAAAAAGAAAGGTCAAAAAATGTTCATCATTTATTTATAGAAAAATATCGTCATATCATTAATTTTTTTTTAGGTCAAATTAACATCATAAAAGACATTCTTGAGAGAACATGGACTTGAGATATGTCACTAGGTTTTCAACCTTCACAATACAAAACAAAAGTTCTATTATGTACCTTTGCTCCAATCATTCATATTGGATTTTACATATTTACCCCCCTCCCTTTCCCCTTTATCTTCGATCTAACAAAATTTCACTTGAGGAAAACTATATTCACTTTTCTATCACCTCATCATTTCAAGAATTTCCAAATCATCAAGTATACAACACCATAAACCCTATCCGCAAAATACAATAGAAACCCAACCCTTTGACTTTTTAGGTCAAACTAACATGAATTAACTTGATTCAATCGTGATCATGATGACAATGGAAACAACCCCCAATTGAATTCTTGAAAAACCTCCTAAATTTCCAAGAATCTCTTGGAGCTACACTTTCCGACATTCTACTTCGCATTTCTTGAGCTTTCATTTGTGCATCTCTATGCTTGTTCAAGATCTTATCCATAGACGCCGACTTCTTCTTTTCCAATTTCATCTTTTATTAAACAAAAAAAAAACCCACTTTTCAATTTTCATACTACCCAAATAAATAAATAAAATTTTTTAACTTTCATTCACACACCTCAAGTTTGCGAATCGATGCTTCCGCTTTTGCATTCTGTAAATTCTCCCAAGCAGTAATTCTCGCTTCCTCTTTCTGCAGCCTAAAAATAAAAATTCTGTAATTAGTGTGTGTGTGTGTGTGTGTGGAGAGAGAGAGAGAGAGAGAGAGAGAGAGAGAGAGAGAGAGAGAGAGAGACTTTGACAATTTCATTGCTCCTTCTGTGGTATTCCATGTCAAAGATAATTCATTATTACTCTCTTTTAGCCTATTATTCTTCTTCTTCACTTTCATCTTGTGTCTTTTTGATCTTTTTGTCATAGTGACGCCTTTATCCACCTGAACATCCCTAACTTCCGATCTTGAAGAATGGTGGCTGCCGCCCTCCACAGGCGGCGGTGTATAGGTTTCCGGGCTGCTCACAGGGCTCATTTGTGTCGCCATATCTCTCCGTGAAACAACACGCGAAACACCATTTTCATCTATGTGTTTGAAGAAATCAATTAAAAACATCAAATAACTCGATAAAAAGTCAAAAGATTGACGAAATTGTAGTTTTTGTACCTTGGGAATCAGGATATGGAGATCCAATTAACAATTCGGACCATCCAGGAATGTTAGGAGATTGAACAACTCCATGATGAAAAGGTAATCCATGATCAGGGACTAAAACCCCTGTTGTGAGAAAATTTTTGGAGCTTCCATTTTCGGGTAATAAAGCAGGTGAATAGTTTGAAAAGTAATTATGAACTCCACCAGGTGTTGTTGATGTTGTCGTTGTCCCACCTAACCCTAATGGGCCACTTTTGGCTTTGGGTCGTCTAGGTGGTGGAGCTGTAGTAGTAGAAGTAGTCGTCGTCGTCGTCTTACAAACCCCAAAACCAGATAATGGACTTGTAATCCATCTTTCAGCATCATCCCATTTCGATGGAAGTGTTCTTCCACTATTGAATGGCATCAATGCTGCAGCACTGATATGTCTCCGACTACTGTTACTTGGTAACGCTACTCTCTCTGAATACCAACCCTTTTGAAAGCTTCCGACATTGTTATCCCCGTAATCTGGAGTCCCTGGGCTTGTGTAAGCACCGGAATGACGGAAGGAAGATGGATTCTTCGTTGTAGATCCTAATTGTGGTGAATAGCAGACCTGCATTGCATCCTCTGGTTCTTTCTACCTTCTACGAACTAGGGTTCTTCAATTTCTTCGGAAAAACCTGGAATTTTGAACTTGAGTTAGGATTAGATGATTGTACTCGATTGTTTAGATGTACATCGCGCATTTACAGAGAACAGTAAGCAACTAGGAAGAAAGATACAATAGTCGAAAGGTATTGTATTGTATATTTGTATTGCCTCTGTGGTCACCGATTTTTGTGGACCACTGTAACGCTCGTGAAGCTACAGATACTTCCAAGTGTGGAATATCATATCAAGAAAACGAAAACACAATAAAAAGAACGTTCTTTTACAGCTAGAAAAAGGGGAAACATTCAAAAAAATACGAGGGCATCATTCATCAATCGTTAGATGTTTACTTCAGTCAAACATGGTAGTTGTGATTGCACCTACTTCAGACTGAAACAAATTCAATAGAGATGAAGTATTACCTGAAACAAAAAGTCTTTGTTGTTAGTTTGATTGTTGGTGTGCAAGAAGATAAGATGTAGACAGGATGAGAAGAAGAATGGCGGATTTGGGGAAGTGGTATTATTAGCTTGTAGAAAAAAGAAGAAGCAGGGAAAGTGTTCGATGAAATGCCGAAAGGAAATGGGCGTGGAATAGATCGAAAGAGTCGCAGACAGGATCCATGTGACAATGCCCCTGAAGTACGGAAGGGGTCTGCCATACATTAATATTTGCAACACATTGGTTTATACGTCCTTATTATTATAATAAATATAATATAATAATTGTTGTTATTATTATTATTATTATTATTATTATTATTATTATTATTATGCCTCCATGTTTTCAATTGTAAATTAATTGTTTATGGTTCGTTGTTGAATGATTTACAAAAAGTTAAGATACTGAAACTATAATTTTATTCGAATGATTTACAATGAGCACCTTTGAAAACTACGTTCGTCTTTGTTCTTACCCTTGTGATCATCAATGTCCAACAAGAAAACTTAACAAAAGATTAATTTATTTCAAGCTCTCAAATTATCTAAAATTATAGAAGAATGATATTTTAAAACTTATAACACCGACCAAAGATATCACGTATCTCATGAGTAATATAAATATCAAATTAGATGGACATTATTTCATTTGCCTTTCTTTAAATATATATAGATATCCAACGAAATCAACTAATCATAGATAAAAGTTTAACACACAACCAATGTTTTAAAAACTGGTTTTTTAGTTGAACCGGTATGGTGACCGGTTCCCGGTTCAACCGGTTTTAATATTTTTCATGTTTTTTTTTTATTTTCCTACACATACGTACATATATAAATCATGAATTTGATGTTTACAAGTTCAAACATTAAAAATACGTATAAAAATAAGTTATAGATGAATCAAAATACATTAAAATAACACATAACATTAAGTTTTAGTGTTTTACATAAATCCATATACGTCAAAAAGAAAAATAAAATATAATACCGAAATAAAATATAATACCGAAACAAACACATCAAAAAACTTGATAATATTTATCATATATTTTTATTTACTGAAAACTAAACAGATTTGAAAAAAAAAATATCCAAAGTTTATTATATAAATGATTTTTTCATGTGTTTTTATTTGGTTTAACCGGTTCAACCGGGTTTTTCTAAAAACCGGCCGGTTCAATCCGGTTCAAAACTTGACATAAAATCGGTGATAGTTGAACCGCTCCCTCTCCCGGTTCCCGGTCCAACCGGTTTGACCGATTGGTTCAAACCGGTTTTTAAAACATTGCACACAACCATAATTAATCAACAAATAACCAAAGGGCTTTTAGCCCAACAATATCAAATGTTGTCTTCCTTCCTTATGTGAATTTAGGAGTAGTTTAAGATTATATTATATTTTCCGTTGTAAAAAAACTAATCAACAAATCAATCATAGACGTCGGAACGTAAAACGGTCGACGACTAAGAGATAAGTTCTATATTTGTATGTTGGGCGAATGAACGACATTATACCAAAAAACTCACTTTAATTTTTACTTTTTTTATAAAAAAAAATCAAACATACTAAAATTCATAATTTTTCATCATCTTTCGGTTATTGATAATTCATTAATTACTCGTCATATTTAATTTTTTTTATGGTTAATATTCTATACGGTTGATCACCGTG